GAAAGAAAAAAACGCTTTACTGTCGTGTGGTTGGGCAACAACTAGTGGCACAAAAGCCTCCACCTTCTGCTTCACCGTTCTCGATACTTCATTACGCCCGCTTTATTCCGCTCTCTACTCCACCGCCCCCCGGCCCAGCTAAAAACGCGTCGAGTTCCGTTGCCCCTACCAAAAGCCCCATTTCCTCCAAAGAAACCTGCATCTGCTTGTCGCTGACCGCGAACTCCGACACGTCTAACCCGGCAAGCCTGTTGCGGTTCCGCAAGGACCAAAGCTCGGTCTTGCAGTAGCCGTATCAGTATGGATTGCAAATTATATGTTTGGGTGGTCTGGAAGAGTAGTGCACGGTTTGCCATGCTCGGCCAGCATGAAAACAAGAACTCCAAAGTCTGTCATGTATGTTGTACCCAAATGCTCCAAATGAGTTTGCCATTTGCTCCAGCAAAAATTGCGACAAATGTCCTCATGCTCGTCCGACGCGCATCACAAGTTTCCAGACCCAGATTACATAATTTGCAGTTGATAACAAGATCAGATCCGTCCCGGCGACAGCGGTGATGATCTTTTTCGTGACCACATCAACAATCAATCCTATCAACGTGATCGGCTCCAGCAATTCCTTTAAGATTTCGGCTTGCAGCGCCGTGTAGCCGCGCGACGAGCACCAGTGGAAGTATGAGAGAGCACAACTCCCCCTCCCCCTCATTTGGATGGCATTCACAGCAACACAAGCCCTGGCAAGAATGCAGCTTTTGCATGACAAATTGATGCCCGATTCTAGTCGTGTTTCGCCTTCCGGAACTGGTCATGCAAGCAGTGCAAACAAGAGGCAACGGCTCGTGGAAACAAATGAGTTGGATGAGGGTCGGGACTTGTGCACTCTCATAGGAAGAGAGTGAAAACCAGAAGGGCTAGACAGAGAAACTTCATCCCGTAATCGAGCCAGATGTAACGATACATCACATCCCGCTTTTCCTTGATGTCCAAAGAAAATTCATTTTTCCCTCCAGACTACACGTACGATTTGCGCTCGTTCCCGCATGATGTTGACAAAAGCTTTCCTTTGAGCTAGTACGGCGCTAGCCCTAGTTACTAGGGCTACGTTTAGCCAAAGGGCTACTAGTACTACTAGTAGTGCTCAGCATTTTTACAATTCTGAATGCAGGCTCTTCTTAAATTATAGCTGCCAGAATTCATTAACTTTCATGCATTCTGTACGTGTGCGGGAAATTGGAATTATCTGTATTTGCATATTCGAGGTGCTCGTTAAAGGACTCGAGGTTGCCGCTGCCTTGCCGGAATGCCGCTGGCCGAGGTTGTGCCCTCTGGAAGCTGTGTGGTTCCTGTTCATCTCGAACAAGCTGCGCGGTGCTGATTCTCTTTGTATCGTTGTGGTCCACGTTTGCGGAGGCACTAACTGCCGATGTTCTTGGCACACTGCTCGCCGTCTGCTTTGTACTTGTTGCCGCCCCGGCTCCAGGGGGAGTGCCTTCTTGCCTTCCGCCGTCCTCCGCCGGGGGAAGCAGAGCCTGTCCGTCCACCTTGGGCAGGTTCGCCTCCTCCGCGTCCGCTCCACGAAGAAGCCCAAAGCCCGAGGATATCCCTAGAAAAAAAACCATCCCCATCCATTTTTTGCATGGCAAACACTGGACTTCATGCATGTTGTGCATGACAAATTGGATCGTGGGGATGGGTCTTTTCTCCTTGATAGAGGACGCACTCAGGCTACTCAAGTCGAAATTCATCTTCCGCAGAGTCAGCAGTCTCCAACCGGTGCGGATTCCCGTCGCGGTGTCATCGACATTGCAAATATTTATGTCGGCCTCGCTGACGAGTCGCAAGGTGTTTTGCACTTCCGTCCCTGGGCTGTCGAAGACCATTTTCACACTGTAAACGCACACGTCCGCAACGACTTGGTCCCAATCTACTGCCGACCGAATCGGGTAGATGAGGAGGAATAGAAACGGGGGAGCAAACGCAATCAGCCAAGCGAGTGCCACGGTTTTGCGGGAGTAAGCGATGGTGTGGAAAAGCAATTTGGTTTTTTCCTTAGCTTCCGGCAAAGCGCGGAGAACGTCGGGCTCATCTTGACCGTGAGTTGTAGTAGAGCCATTTGCTCTTGCATGATGCGCCGTTTGAAGATGCCTTGCGACATTTGATGACGTTGCGGTGTTGTAGTCTGACAAATCGAAGTCCACTGCGTTGTACTCATATTGCTGCTCCGGGGTAGGTCTGTACGGATCTAGAAGACGTTGCCCTTGATGTTACTACCACCTCCAGCTGTCGACGTGGTTCCTGATGCTATCATCTTCCCAGCCGATGATGCACCAGTAATTTTTGTTGGGACGAACAGCTTCGTCGCCTCCAAGAATTCGATCCACTTTGCGAAGGCCGTCTTCTTACTGGTAGGTGAAGAAGCTCCTGCAGTGGTCCCTCCGGAGGGGCTGATGTTTCCACCAACATCTCCCTTGGAGGAGGTTCCCGCCGATGAAGAGCCCCCACCAGGCGGGCCGATGCCGAGTCTCTCGTCTTCTTCCATTTCAGCGGAGATTAGGAAGGCCATATTGTGAGGAAAAATCCCCCTCCCCATATTAAAAACACATCCGCTAGAAAATTTGCGATGCAGATTTGTGACCACAAATGCTGTCTGTCTTGCAAGAAGGCAACTTCAGAGAGTCGGCCTCATTATTTAGGCGGTTTGTAATGCTGTTTGATGTCCTACAGTGTAGAATTTTGTCATGCTCGCGCCTATGTCAAAAACAAAACCTCTCTGCTCAGGCTTAGCATATGCCTGCAATTCTCTACTGCAAGAGGAGTCTGATTTGTGTACGCAAATCCAGCAGCAGAAATTTCGTTTTGGTATGGGGAGGGGGGTGGATTTTTCCTTTTGATAGGCCACGTCCGGCCAGAAAAAGCTGTCGTAGGGGAATAAGCGCCAGCCGAAGTTCTGTGCGACGTTCCGTATGCATGGTAAATGTGTCTTGGTCGTCTGGAAGATTGCAAGACTTGTCATGCAGGTTTTTCATGAGCCATGAAATGGCTGCAATGCAGGACCTAGCATGACAGATCATTCTGGGAGGTCTACATTATGCCCATCCTGCATCTGCATGAGAAACTCCCTCTCGACAACTTGGTCAAAAGTGGACCGACAGCTTTTGGTTGTCACGAAGCACTGATTTTTACATGATCGAGACTTAGCATAACAAATTGGAACTCTCCCAGACCCAGACGTATTTCCAATGCATATTCCGCACGATTTTCCTCGCGTACACCGGGCCCATGCGGGCGCAGTCGTTTTTGTTCTCCGGTACCAGCCAGAAAACGAGCGGGAAAAACCAAAATGCCCAGTGCCGGAGCTGGATCGGTGACACGGTTGCGCTGCGGCAGAACATCATACACAGCTGCGCGAAAACGACCGTCTATCAAATGTAAAAATGTCTGGGTCTGGAAGAGTCATGCTGTTTTTGCATGACACAGAAGGCCTGACATGGAAGCTCTAGCATCACAGGTTTCGAGAAGCTTCCGCAATGCCGAATCCGCATGACAAATCCCCCATTTTGCTGACAGAAAGTGGGCAGCTTCTGCTACCTATGCATGAGAGATTTTTCTATTTCTGTGTTCTGAAATACGCATCACAAGTTTATTCTTACAGACCCAGACATATTTGCAATCCATACCGTCACGCTGATCACAATGCACACAAGGCTGGAAAAATGGATCGAGGTGGTGGAAGAAGTTGATAAAGTTGAGCTTTTATGCATTGCAAAAGTATCGTACTAGTACGAATTGCATCACAAATTCTCTCAAGTGCAAAAATGCAACTTGGCATGCTAGTTCGGGTAGAAAGTTGGGTTTGTAATGCTGCATATAACGCTATTAGTACAACGGGTACGGTAGGTTTGCAGTGCATAGCTTTGTTGCTGTTGCACTCCTGCACTTCCAGCAGCACCTGAAGTAGTAGATGCAGCTCCACCAGCTCCCACCGCAGCTGCATAGTGCCTCGCCATCAATTCTCCATGTTCTTCTTCCCTCCGCGTATGAGCGTGCGCAACTTGCGGCCCTCCCCCTCATTTGAACGGCATCTACAGCAACAAAAGCTCTGCCAAAGATGCAGCCTTTGCATGACAGAGTCATGAAGACCTAGTCTAGGCTTCGGGAACCTGCCACGCGGCCAATGCCAAGAGGCGGCGTGTGGATTTGGCATTTTGCACGACAAACATAAGGTTAAGGGGGAGCACGAGCAGTTGTGCACTTTCATACCGCGCCCGCTCGGCAGTCAACGCGTTTCCGACGGCGGCGAGTTATCCTGTGCAAAAGTATCGCACTCGTATTGCAGTCATGCATTACAAATCCCTGCGTCAAGGAAAATCAGCATTACAAATTTTATTTCTCATGCTGAGGAAATTTGTAATGCATTTAT